CAGTACACCGTAATAGGTTGAAGGGACCAATCGAGTTCGCCCTAAAACGCTCACAGACTCGGTTTTCGAGGTGGCCGCAATGAGTCTCCTCCTCCGTCGTCTGTAAATCTGGCAAGCTTCAACGTGTGTTCTGATCTCCCTCTGATGGTTGTCTCCTCGCTACCCCCTCTCGCAATGACAAGCCTCTCGGAACTGATCAACTCTACTCACCGTCGGAGATCGACCGTTGCGTCACCTCTGTCTCTCCCGATTCCGCCGGAGCCTCCGGACCACCGGAACCACCGAACCGGATCCGACAACGCGCATACTCTCTCCATCTGCTTATGTGCTACCGTTGCTGGAGAATCTTAGCTCTCTTGCCCCCATCCTACCTACCTTTCGGCTTCACCTCCGGCGCCACCAAGGGCAAGACCTGTTAACTCGTTCCCTCACCCTGCTTCCGACCCATCTCAGCCTGTGGACTCAAGCTCTGCTCTACGGACTGTAAAAACTTCTCCACCCTTGCCTCTACTCCGACCTTCGGCCTCCGCCTCACCCTCTCGCCGGCGCGCCTCTTCGCTGGTGAGACCCAGTCCAAATTCCCCCGGCTATCTCTGCTTAGCCGACCCTTGCTTCTTTATCCCCGTCGTGAGGCGAGGTGAGATTTGGACTTTGGTCCGAGCAACTTCCTCCGTTTCTCTCCCTCGAACCTTCGAGATGACGGTCACGACAATATCCCCTCCCCCACCAGAACCGCCAGACCCGCCAGACCTCCTCCCGGCTCTGTNGTCCGTGCTCATTTCAAAACCTCATCACCGTCCCGGCTTGCTCTCCCCAGGGCTCGTCCCGAGAACATCCATGTTGCCATCTTCGTCGGACCCTATCAATTTGACGATGCCAATCTCCGCGTTCAAGCTGTATCACCGTCGGCGGTCCCCCCGGATCTGAACGGCACCCGATCGGGATGTATTACGGCTTAGATTCGATGGCTCACCACTTCTTCTGTCGGATTCCACAACATTTGTACCCTACCCCAACCCGTTGGTCACCACCGGTCTCTTTGGGCGGCCGCCGAAACTGTAATCGCCGGCAAAGACTCACTGCGAATTTTTGTGGTCAACAACGACACATCCGTTGACTGGATCTATTTGTTGATGGCTTTTGGCTGTTAAGGGGCCGAATCCGAATCAGGGCAATCATTATGTATAATTGGCTGAGTCTGATTATGGATATTTGTGAGTTTCTGATGGGCTTTTTGAAGCCTAATCTGCTGAGGCCTAATTTGCAGATGGTTCTCTACTATCTTTGCCCAGCATTAAAGTTTTCTGGATTCTCAAATCCTACAAGTTACTTCCGGTGGAAGAGATTAGTTTTACCTTTTACCACCTCTTTAAGAGTGGTTGTATCCTCTCTCTCTTTGAGAGCGGTCGAAATCCCGTGTTTTTTGCCGAGACCTTGTGGGAGTCGAAACTAGCACAATTAGATTTGTAAGAGTTTCGTGAGGAGACAGAGATTTCTAGGCTAAGCTAGGAGAGAAACGATGAGCAAAGAGAAACGTTTGTTATTGTTGTGTATGTTTTTGTGAACAAAGTTGCGGATACCCCTTCAAGGGTTTTTACATCAATAACTATATATAACGTTCCCAAGTCGGCTAAGTTTCCTAAGTCTTCTTGGATCCCCTCCTCGCCTATGTCGGTTTCGCCGAAGTGGGCTTCGCGATTGGACTGGGCTTCGGTCTCGAGGCTTCAAGTTCCCGTGGGTGTTACGCCCGTTTCCTGGAGATGTCTGGGCTTGCTGTCTTAACTGGTCCAGAGGCGAACCCCAACCCACTTGATTGTCTCCGCCATTTCGTGGGTGTCAAGAGGTCATTGACTCGAGTCCTCCTCGTGCCGCCGTAGACATCGGTCATCGGGTCCATCGCCATCGGGTCCAATGTCATCGGATCTTGGATGACTTCGTGCTTGTCACGGAAGAAGTGACAAGATGTGAATAGTGTCCCAAGGTGAATAGTTTCCCGAGGTGAATAGTGTCTCGAGGTGAATAGTGATCCAACGTGAATAGTTGCACCGAGGTGAACAGTGGTACCGAGGTGAACAGTGGCACCGATGTCATCGTCGTAGAGGACTTCGCCTCGCAGGCGGAGAAGACTTAGGGTCGGAACAGACTTGACTAGAAACGACTTAGGAACCATATGCTAACCAAAATTTGAACGTTAAGGTCGAGCGGGTGAAATCCGACCCCAACAGTTAGCCCCCCAGCTCGGTAGTGTTAGCGATAATAGTTCCGAGTTTAAAGATCATTGGGGTCGATGTTCAAAGTTGGGCTGTTATTGTATCGATGTTAGCGTGACGCTATAAGCTCGTGCCATTAGAGTTGACAATGTTTGTAAGCGTCCCGCTCTTGTTTATTGAAGGTTTTAAGACTTCGTGTTACGTGAGGGTTTGAAGACCTTACGTTTTTATGAAGATTTTAAGACTTCATGTTCTGATTACGGATGTCAATGACGCCTTAGGCAACGGGAAAACGATTTTCAGGAGTGACAATGTCACTCAATGAGGTCGGGTCCCGTTCATGAGAAGGAGGAGAGAGACATAAAAAAAAAAATTAAAA